AATAAATTAATATAGTTCCTTTTTTAATAAAAAAATTCCAAAAGGCTTAGCCCTTAATCTTCCCTGATATCCAAGATCCCCCCAAAAAATTTAATATTAGATCTATAATTTTTTTAAGAATACCAAACATTCCTTAAATATCAAAAATTAAAATCCAAAGCTCAAAAATTACAAAATGCCATCCCCATGCTAGCCATCTATCTGTAGACGGACAGCTAAAGATAACCCTCCTGCCCAACAGCTGAAATTAACGAGTTCCCGGCCCCCGATAAAGCTCAGTGCCGTATGGCATTTCCGCAAATATCCCAAACTAAAGGGGCGAGTGCATATCCTATCAACTATATGAACACGACGTATGGCTTGCCACTCTCGTCAAGCTAGCCAACGCCATAGCTCAAAAGTCGAGAGTCCACCGAGAGCAAAGGAAAAAGTAAGGGATGTCGTCGCTGGTGACAGACGAGATCAAGGCCAAGGCCTCCGAGTTTCTACCGTGGCGACGACATGTGCCAAGAAAAATCAAAGTTGTTACTCAAAGAAATCGGCCTGCCCACCGGCTCCTCCCCTTTGCAGGTACGGTCGTGACAATTTGTGTACATTGATCCTGTTTGGAGTGTTCGATTTTCAACTTAAAAAAAAAAAAAGTTATGCTTCTGATTTTTTATTTTTTAATATTTGATTTGATATAAAAAAATATTTTAAAATTTCTAGGAATATTATTTTTATTAGTTCTGAATTTTTTTATTTTTTAATATTTATATTAGACGCGTTGTAAAACGACTTCTTTAAATAATTAAAAAAAATTAAAGTCCCAAAAATATGAAAACCAAACACTGTCTTGCTTCATCTGTGCTAAAATAATTTAAAATTCTAATATAAAGTTGTTAAATCTTAGTAGGATATGGAGGAGTGTGTGGCTACGTGAGGGAGACTGGATTCGTGTGGCTGAAACAGAAGAAAAAAACGGAGGAGCACAAGTTCAAGAAGATCGGCAAGCTCGTCTCTTACGCTCCAGAAGTTACCGCTTACGTCGAGACCGGCAAGATCAAGAAGCTGACGGGCGTCAAGGCAAAGGAGCTATTGATTTGGATCCCGCTCAGCGACATCTACCTCGACGATCCGCCCACGGGAAAACTTACTTTTCAGACGCCCGCGGGGCTCTTCCGGACGTTCCCGACGTCGGCATTCGAGCTCGAGGAGAAGGAGGGGCTGCCGCAGGCGAAGAAGGGAATAAGCCGGCCGGCGTTGTGGAAGTGAGGAGGAGTGTAACTGGTGATCGATGACAGACTTGTGCTACTACAAATTTTCTTCCCTAAAGAAAGTTGTTAGAAAAAGTTGGTGTTTAAATTAAGTGGTTATTTAAATCTGGCTCATTATGGAATACCACAAGTTCATGACTGTGATCTGCACATGAATTGCAATAAGATTAAATTTCGAGTTTATTTTTTCTTGGGCAGATGGAAAGAATATTAACCCAGGACCACACACAAGTACGGGGTGAAAATAAGTTACGTCAGAACTTAAAAAAGCAGGCATAATTAATAATAATAAAAATTACTAGTCTCAATCTTACTTAAACTTGCGATGAATTAAAAAATTAGTTTTGGCCTAATTAGTTTGTAAAACTGGTTAGATCTCACTTATAAACCAAAATTATTGAAGTTATAAAAATATATATATTATATGTAATATATGGTATATTATATTAAATAAATGAATAAATTTATATGAGGAGAACAAATATAATCAGATTTAAGCTTGTTTAAATTAAAAAATTAATTTTTTAACTTAGGTAATAATATAAACCAAGACAAAACAAACTAAACTAGAGCGGCCCATAAATGATTTGAATTATGTCAACCCTACACATGAATTACCCACATTTTCTTGTCTATTCTTTTATATATGATATGATAATAAATTAGGTTGGTATCGCCCAAGTATTAGATAATATCATTCATTTAATGTTTCTAGTTATGCATAGTCACGTAAAAAATGTGAAAATAATCAAGGGTAAAACACATCAGCGATGGTGATTTCGTCTGCGTGCACTTTATAATCTGAACCCATTAAAAAATCAAGAGTGTCAAACCTTTTATTTTAAAAGAATTTAATAAGTATTTTACTTTATAAATATTTCACACCCTGGAATATAAAGGAGATTAACATTAGGAAGCTGTTGAAATAATTTAAAAAAAAAAAAACCGTATATTGGGCATTGACATTGACCCACAATATGTGAGAGCTATTATAGTTGCAAAATTTGTAGGTGATAATAGATCTAAATCACTATTAAAAAAAGAATAATACATAAACAAGTTATTAGATATCCTTGACTTGTTATTTATTATATTTGTAACATAAGATGAGATCAAAAATATTTCAACTAAGAAATCATAACTTCGTTTCGATTTTAAAATTTTAATTATTTGTTTAAAAAGAAAAGAAAAGAGAGAGAACAATAAAAGGGAGATAGAGCTTTCAGCTAGCCAAGAAAAAAGGGAAGAAATTAAGCTTCAGTGAGGGTGTTAAATGGTAGGGGTTTTGCAGTTGGGGTGGTGGATTATTAAATGCGAGAAACAGAAAGGCGGTGGTGACCAACAAAAATGCACTGTTCTTACCGACCCCAAGTGGAAAAGTTTAGTCACCAGAGTTTGTTCTTTTTGGTTCTTTAACTTCATATGCTTTTATTTTCATCGTGAAATATTTATAATTTCTTAATTTATGATTTTCTAATATAAAGACCAAAAAATTACAGTATATCTTAACAGTAACTTTAATCTTTGGAGTCTAAGCACAAACCTAAGAAGTCATGAAATAAATGTAACATGGACATACATGTCTTAATAATGATTTAATTTTCTTTTCAAAATATTTGAATTTGAAAGTAAATATAATAAATTCAAGAAATTCGGATCGTTTCTTCACAGCAATATATAAAATACAAACAGAGAGGAAACGCTGAAGTTGAAAGCCTTGAGTTTCGCATCGAACTCCATAGACAACTCATCTACCAGACTAAAACCCTGACTGTTGGAGAAGAGGAAATTAACGACAGAAGTACAAATTTCATTCAGACAGAAGTAGGAAATGGCTACAAAACCAGAAAAAAGGCCTCTTTTTAAGTATGAAAATTTTCCTTCCCGACAAAATCATATAAAATCAAAATCAAAGATGAAAGATAAAACTCAAGTTTAAGCCTTGTACTTTGCATCAAATCCATAGGAAATTCAACCTATCTCCCAGACCAAAACCCTAATTGTTGGAAATAAAGAAATTAACAAAAGTCTAAAATTTCATTCAAACAGAAGTGTGAACGCCTATGAAACCAGAAAAATAGACTCTTAAAAAGTCCTCTTTACCCAAATTTGAACCCACCAGCAGGAAGGTTTGGCTGGGGGTTCCCAAAACTAAAACCTTGTTGATTTCCATCCATCCCATCTTGAAGAATCTGTTCTTCTTCGTCCTCCTCTGCCCAATATCTCTCTAATATCTTCACAGCCTTCTCATAGATCTCATTGTTGTCGTGGGTTTGGAGATTTTCAATCTTATCCACCCCCTCGGAATCATCAATTACTTGTGCATAAATATTTATTCCACCGTTCATTCCTGCTTCTTTGTCAGCCTCACCCACTTTCAAAATGTTCTCAAGTCCCTCGAGGCAAACAGTGACAATCCTTGGGTCCGGACAAATTAAAAGATCACAAAGTGGCTTAATGCAACCTTGACTTACCAAGAATCTGCAAGGGCAAGCTTGTAAATTCGCTATTTGTTGGTAAATGCATGTAGGTCAATGAAATAACATACAATTTATGAATTTAATATTGCTAATTCAGCAGTTAGAACAGACCCATGATTGAAGATGCAGGAACCAAGATCTTTCTAAGATTTTGGAACAAAACAAATAAGTAGGCATCAAATTAAATCTAGCAAATCAAATTCTACAATTGTTTTTCACATAATTATCTTTTTTTAATTTTTTGTACACCGGAGGCCTTAGCCTGGGAAGGGATAGGTAGGAGTCAAACTTCTAAACTCTAAATGAAATTTTACTAGTGTTTGTCATTTGGCAAAGCCTTAGGTCCGTTTTCCAGAGAATTTTAGATCAGGAGGTAATTTTTCTGAAGGAGGAATTGTAATCCAATTACATCACAAACGTGTGAGCCCTGGCAAACTCTCACAAAAAATAATTTACTATAAGCTCAACTCACATACTTGCAAACTATCAAGTCTACCTCTAACGAAGTTTTATAATTCAGGAAATTCACAATTTTGTTCAATTAAATAGAATGATATCATACACTATTTCAGCATTGGAAAAGGAAAAAAATGACAAAGAAAAAGTTCTTGTTGTGGAAGGCAGCAACCCATTGAAAAATAAATTAAATAAGCTAGATGAGTAAAGCAAGTAACATAATATAATTAACTTGATTGCAACACAGACATGAACTTATTGCCAAATTTCACCACTCAGAATAAGCAAAGCTAAATAATCAATAATCTGAACCACTATATAAAGTAGGGATCTTAATGTTTTACCACTAAAGGAAGGATCAAGAAAAATAATACCTAAAGAAATACAGCATAAGATTTATGATTAAAACTAATACTGGTTGTGAAGGTCAATTAATAAAGGAAAAGAAAGAACTTCACGAAAACATTTTTCTGGCTGGCTGGGGGAGAGGGAAGTAATGAAACTTCCCTACTGGATTGTCAACCTAAAGAAACTATTGTAAGTTCAGGAATTAATCATGTCAAAAATTAATGCTTCTTCTAACATTTACAATTAGAGTACAAATGGCTACATATCATGTCCAGAAGAATTTTGCTCAGTACTTACAGAGCCATGACTCCAGACACAACACAATGGCAAAATTACTCATATAGTTGATCCCAAGTGAAAAAATTTTTGGACATCAAATGTTTGTTTTATATTGTTGGGCTGTATTATATATGACATGGTATGGAAACCAGGACAGTAAAAAGAATATAGAGGAGAAGAATTAAGCAACAAAAAGGCAGAAACCTAGATCTGCACTAAATGCCAATTTAGATGTACTCTGGCCATATGAAGAAGAAATGGACACGAAAAAAACACACCGAATCTGCTCAGGAGTTCCTCCAGAGGTAGCATTTGAAATAGCCCATGCAGCCTCCTTCTTGATATCAAATTCAGCATTTTCAAGAAGGTGCACCAGAGGAAGAATAATATTGGCTTGAATAACAGCCTGTTACACATGCAAGCGCATATGTGCATTCACATAAAGGCAATATATTAATCACTATAAATAATAAAATAGCAATGCCAATTACAATTTAATACAAGAGAATGCACAAATGTACACGTGATTAGAACCTTGAGCCTTTTCAATTCCCAAAAAGACCACCATTTCACTCTTCCTAGCACTTGTCAATAGAAATAATACTCACCAATTCTCGAAACAGATGCACTGTTTCTCTAGGATTTCTTGTGAATTCACCTTATTATGTTTTACACAGGACACAATAGGACATGGCTTACAGGGAACCATTTCAATGCATAAAATCTCCCAGGCAAAACAGAGAAAGAATGTTTATACAGACACAGCTAACGATTAATTCATGTGCTTCTATCCTGACAAGGCTTTTTATACCATCCATACTCAAAATTTTTTTAATGCAAGTCCCAAAAGTTCAAAAAATCAGGACATAACTGGCAAAACATTAAAAAAGGAAACAAGTTCAAGCAACAAACAAGGGGAAATAATAATAAATAATATAATAGTTCTTTATTTAACGGTCTGTCTGCAACATATATCCACAGAAGAAAACATTTTTCAGATTAATAAGGAGCAACATTTAAACAATTAAAAATGCACTGCTTATGATCAACAAAACATGGTGCCCATAACCACTTACTCCCAGCAATGAATCCCACTTAATGACGGTTGGCCAGCATCAGACACAAAAAGGAAAACATAGATTAAGTTACAGGGTGGTAAAGTTATTCATAATTGATAACAAAAATTTGAATAATTGGGTATGCAAGGGAACATATAGACCTGAATTTGACTTCTAGTCCCAGCAGTGATATTTGAAACTGTCCAGCAAGCTTCTTTCTTGATGCTCTTCTTGTGATTTTGATTGAGAAGTTGATAGAGACAAGGAAGGACACCATTGTCAATCACAAACTGAAACCAAAATAGAAATTCATTATTTTCTCTCTCTGGCAGAAAAAGCATATGCTGTTGGTAAACCCCCCCCCCCCCCCACCAAAGAATTGAATCATCTTATCATTCTTCAAACTCATTTTCAAACTCAAATCGAAAAGCCAACCATACCAAATGAAGCCTAATTAGTCAAAAGTGAAGCTCAGCCTGGCTCACACCTATAGTTGCTAATATAAGCATGGACATGAAACATTTAATTATGTAAGATCCATCAGAATTTGTCTCTAAATCATTCACCTCGTATACCACCTTGCCTTGGGTCTGTCCATTTATTGGTAAGCGGATAGATCAAGTTTCACAACCTTGATGAGGAAACAGACCCAAAGAATAAAGATTCATATGGAAATTCATCAACTGCATAGGACTATTAGATTCTGCTTTTCTGGTTGAGCAGGAACCCATACTTGTTTTAAACTTTCAGAAATAATGATTAACCAGAAACACAAGAACTCTCACATTGAAAATACCCAAGAGCCAAGAATGACTGTTTTGAAGAAAACAAAAGCAAAGCTATTTTCGACAATGGTTCAAATCAATGAGGGATCATGTGTATAACAGAGTAGACACGATATGAACTAAAACTTTATTAAGAATCCTTTTTCATAAAGATCTTCCTTTCAACTAGTTTGACTTCAGCAAACTAAACAGATTTACCATGATGATAAGCATGAATTTACTAACAAATTATGTATCAATGGTTAGCCTATTTAGGTGTAAAAAGTCTAGGCACAGAGGAGGGGACAATGTTAAATATTAAGTGATTTGGGTCACCTCGCACTTGCAAACTTGAGCTTTTAGACAAGATGGTATCAAACAGTCTAACATTTGAATTACATGTCAGTGTCACCTTTTAATCCTGATGTTAGCATGGACTTATGACATTGCATTAACCTGACATCATGTAAGAATTAAAATGAGGGACACTGAAATATAATTAATACCTGAGTTTGGGTATCATCACCAGTGACAATGTTTCCCACAGTCCTAAGAGCTGGTATAAGAACCGTAGGAGATGGGTGCCTTGTGAAAAACACATTTTGGTCAGTACCACGCTCAGAAAACTAACAACTAGAGAAAGAAGAGAAAACTGACAACTATAGAAAGAAGAACAAAACTCATATTCTGATAAAGAAGGAAAAAAAAATGAATCAACATATTCATATGAAACTTTTTTTAGGATATACATACAACAGAAGCTCCACAAGTCGTGGACAGACACTGGCCTCAATTACAGCTTGAATTTTGTCATTTGGGCCATCAGAAAGATAAGAAAGGGCCCAGCAAGCATCTGTTAAAACTTCTTCATCATTCAAGTGGATAAGTTGCTGAAGAATTGGCAATGCAGGCCTCACCTGACAATGCCAAAAAACAAAAATAGATAAAAAATAATGAGATATACCAATTTGCATAAAAGAATTTGCCCATGATAGTAAAGCCAAGAAGGTTGATAAGTGGGAAAATATAATTAAGGCAGCAAATAATCCAAGTAGAAACAAGCTTTCCAGTGTCAGGCTGCACTTGAGTAACCACTTTGTAAGTTTTCCCATGCTTGAATTTGGACTGCTTTAAAATATCGCAAGCCAAGATCTGCTTGGCCTGGTTAGTTAAAATTTAATGTGTACTAGGCCTTCTTTGTTGGAAATGAAAGAAAAAAATTAACAGGCAAGGAGTGTTAAGAATTAAAAAGATCTTGCGAGGTGCATAACACACTAGCCCACATGTTGTCTTTTGCTTGCCTTTCCATTAAGGAAAAAAACAGTGTGTGTTTGAGAAAGATGAACAGGTGATCAATAAAATATGGTTCCTCTCCTCATCGTTTTTGTCATACAATTTTACTCACAAAAACAAATACGTAAAAATAGAAATCAGAAAATTATTCTCAGTGTAGCATTTTTTAAATGAACCTTCAAAAACAAGCTTGGACTCAATTCATTCAATGAATTAAAAATGAGCTTGAATGGCTTAATAAAGAGCTATGCCTAGTTGGTCATAATTTGCATCATTTAATTAAACAAAATTCAAAACCTCCTCAAAAGGTGTTGGTGGCTTGCCCCTACAGAAGTTGGATAGAGTCCATGTAGCATTTCTCAGCATTGATAGTTTTGAGCGTTCATTTAACTGAGCTAGCAAAGGCATAAGAGCACCATGACTGAGAACAAGATCTCTACAACTTGGAGAGTCACCAGCAACATTCCCCAAGGCCCATACTGCCTGCTCATAACATATAGAATTAAAAGAAGAAAAGAAAAAATGAGTAAACAGACAAACAAAACAAAATTCATTCACAGTCCATATACAACAAATTTTCACACTTGAGAAACAATTACATGTTGGCCACTAACTCAAGTAAACAAGGCAACAAAAAGATGGCAAATTTTCCAAAGGGAAGCAATCAACATAAAAATTCATCGCAACATTGGCCATGGTGGTCATTTTGGTCGAGGTTTTTACTCTCAGTAGAGTTCTTACAGCACCAGCACATAAACCTGAAAGTGCAAGGAGTTCAAAATAAGGTGGTGGCCATATGAAACACGGTCTGTCATGTCACTGATATCATATACTTGCACAACAATCTAAAAAAACACCAAACATGGGCAAAGTGGGATATGACAAAAAGATATGGAATTTATATGTTTATGTTTATTGTGCCTATAATTATGATGCCAGTCAACATGAATACAAATCATCCTTTGCTGAAAAATGCACATAATATACTCTTAAAATCATATTATACATGTAAAAATTTAAACTCTAGTAAATTTTATTTGGCAGAGAGAAAGATCTTTTATATTTGTGCATATCTTCATGCCAAAAACCCTTAAAAAAAAGCACATAACATCACATGACTAGCACATCCCTCACCATGCTCAACAAGTGTCAAACATGTAAACAAATTCAGCTTAGAGATAGTCTACCCTATATGATTCTGTATTAAAACTCAAACTTCTTGGTGTTACTAGCAACTAGTAAGAAGAATTTAATGCTAGATCCACTAAAAACACTTGATAGCAATTGGAAACTGTCAGATAGATTCACATGGGCCCTTGATCTTGATTTAGTCATGGGTACCAATGTGCTTTTAGACCACAGCCCATCAAGCATGTAATAAGTAAATAAAATAAGCCAAAGAAAGACTGAAAGTAAGATCTCATTAATGCTACAATCCCATGCAACTCTGCTACAATCCTCAATCCTATGATTACCCTTCCCTCACTGTCCTACCACATCCCAAATTTAAATATCCTGTTGTAATATAAATTGACCATGTGAAACTTAATCCTGCAAAATTAGATCCAAGTAAATAAATCGTGATATTGGACAACACTGTTTCTGCAAATAACAAACTGAGGCCATGAACATGTTTGGTGGATTGCTTTCAATAACTATTTCCAGAGGAAAAGTTTTGGAACTGCAACATTCTTATAAAAGAACTACTTATTGTAGAGTTCCCAAAAAATTATTTTCTGGCCAGATATGAAAATGATGGTGTTTTCATAATTTTCATTGTTTCTTTGTTTCCAAATACACAAAAAAATAAAAATAAAAATAAAAAATAAAAACAAGACCTTACAGATTCTAGAAGAAAAAACAGAATGAAATGAGATCATTGCAAGTCTGAGCAACCAAAGAGGTAAGGTTGAAGCAGGTGGGGGCAAACAAATTGTAATAATGGAAAGTTTCTACCATTTAAATTTTTTAAAGGAATGAGGCATGGCTAACTAAGTCAAAAACAGCACTCACATAAAAGCTTACGAAATTTTTTTCACACGAGCCTAGAATAGCACAACTTTCAAGTAAAATAAGCCGGGGTTACCTGCTCCCGGACATCATCACTGGCAGAACTAAGAAGTTGAACAAACTGGGGGACAGCACCATGTTCAATGACAACTTGGGTGTGCTCTGATGTCCCAGATGCAACATTTGTCAAAGCCCATGCTGCCTCAAACTACAAAAATAGATCAAATCAGTTCAAGGAGGAAAGCAATGCTCAACCACTGTGCTAGAAGAGGAACATCTATATTTATCAGGTCCAGCTAAAAAGAGGGAGTACAGGTTCATACTTGCAGTTGAGGGAGATCATGCCTTCCAAGGAACTCCACAAACCGAGGGACAACACCTGCTTTGATTACTTCATCTATTGGAGGGCTGCGCTCTACACAAGCAAACCAACAAATAATACTCAAAACAAGTTGATTGAAGAGTTCCTAAAATGTTCTTCAGCACTACAGCTCCACATGTACCTATTGATAATAGCTTTCTAAACTGAGTAGTTGCTTCTAATTGTGCTGCAGGATCTTCAGACCACACTCCTTGTACCATCAATGGAATACTTTCTAACTGTTAGATTAAAAAGGAATGGTTAAGCAAAAGGACAACTACAAAAGAATTCAAATAAATCCAATTCACCCCTGCAAACAATGTAACAATTGGCAGTTGACAACCCATACTCACCAATATTAGTTCACAGTACATAAGGTATAAATACAATCCAAGAACTAAAAGAAATTTATGAAAACACTCAAAGAAAAAAAAAAAAAAAACTCAAAGATAGAAACTGAACATTTTACGATATACAGCATTAAAGTAACAATTATTTCCAGGGAGACTTAGGTTTCCAATTAACCATCAGGTTTGTGATACAGATGGACAACCTTTAATTTCCAACAGATCAAATTAACTTGTTCAATGAAGCCAGTAGGCTTCTTTTATTTAAAAGTTAATTAAAGAAAAAGAAAAAAAAAAACTTCAAATGCCACATCTACTTGTTCTTCAATTTTCTTTTATCAAGCAAAAGAAAATACAAAATAAAAACATTGAAAGGGCACTAATGGTGCCACACCTAGGGGCATTCTTCTTAAGCTGTTTAAACTAATAAAGACTATTCTCAAGGCTTCTAGCTTCTAAGACTTTCCGTTCAAGGCTTGGCAGTGATGGGAGGTTGCCACAGGGACTTGTGACCTTTATAGGGTTACCGGAGTCAAGTGGTATGGACGGCTAGAGGGTGAAGCTTATTGGACTGCAGCACGCCTGACTTGACCAACCTTAGAGAGACAGGAGTCAATGGAAATCCAAGATATTCCAAGATATCTTCTACACGTGACAAGCTTCTATTCATCCATAAGTAAGCTTTGATCTCCTTATGATCCCTCTATGGTGGTGTGGTGGCATGCAGAGGGCCATGCCCTTGAGAATTTTGGTTTGTAACACCAGGATGTCAACTAGTGAGAGATAGAATGCTTTGAACCCAAAAATTGACTTTGGGACCCCATGGATTATTTGATCCCTTTATAAATAGGACCATTAACTCTTCATTTATTATGCATCCTCTACACGCTATGATTGCTCAAAGGAATCTTCGAGGTTCTGAAGTTTCTTTCCATCCCTTTAGTGCCACCCTTCTCCCTCTCATTCACTTACCTCTGCTAAACTCTGCCTTTGCTGAATGGCCCTGATCCTCTCAGAAGCTATGCCACCAGGTCAGTGTACCTTTGCTCACATAATGCAAATTCCAAACATGCCCGTGATTTGACTGGACTCCTGCAATTATACTCTGGTCTTAATTGGCTATTTAAGTTTTCAAAGTCACTTGAGTTCTTGTTCTTAAGCTTCCAAAACTTGCTCAAACATGAATAACTCTTCAAAGTAAGTCTTCTGCAGAAATTACCTTGTGGACATTTGTTAGCATCAATTGGTATTATGAAATGGTCAGCATGTTTCTGCATCACATCCAGCTTTCCTATAAACAATAAGCTTAACACATTGAAGATTTCCCTTGTTATTAGGGCCTTATTACATTTCCATGCAATATGTCAGCCACTGATGAATGTAGAATTCTGCACTCGTAACACATGCAACAGCCACTATCTATCACAGGAATTATGCACCTTTTGCTGCTATTGTGCTGCCCAAAGAAGGTAATAAATTGATTTCATAATTCACTGGAAGCACTTAGCCAGTCCACAGCCTTTACCAGTAATTTCCCACTAGTTTCATATAGCTACTTTGTGACTAAGCCATATATGAGTTGGCAGGTGGAGCTTCAGTATTGAGCTACTACCTTTTTCTGTTCAAGATGGTACCACAATCATGTACCCGTGAGGGTTGGTGGAAGAATGTATCAGAGCCTCATTCTTGGAAACACTGACACATACAGTATTGGCACTTCTTGCGCTTAATCTCCATGAGATACCTTAGACATCCTTAGCAGTGGGCAAAAGTCAGGAAGAAGTTATGATTGTAGCTAGTATTTGGTATTCCAGTCTCTCCACCACGTAATTAGTATAATGAGCTCTTGATCAAATGACAAAAATCATTAACACCACTTAGATTTTTAGAGGTGTTATAGCATGCTATCCTGGAACCATATCTAGTATTTTTCTAGTTTTTACTGTTAATTTTCCATTTTTGAGCTATTATTAATTTGGCAACCATATGTAACGTCTGTAGGACTAAATTTAAAGGTGATTTTATGTTTACTGTTGTATAGAAAATTGTCTAGCCTGTTCTTGATATTTTCTTGTCTTATATATATTCTGTTCTACAGGCATTGCCGAGCTTGGAGTCACATTTTATTCACTTGTTCACCCTAATTTACGGAAATGATTTCATCTAGTAATCCTAGAACTGTTTGATGAGAAAACAAATAAAGAACTTCCTCATATTATGATTGCTTTTCCATCCAAAATTATTTTTCTAGACTAAATTTAACTTCCACCTCCTCTATTGCCAATTGATTCTCAGTTTCCAGATATCACTAAGATAATTAGCAGAATTTTATTGTTCAAAATAAACAAAATGAAAATATTTTTACAAACAGTAGACATCGTTAGATTGATAAGGAAATTACATGTCAATGTACCACATTATCATCAAGCACATTATTACAGATAGCATTAAGCTGAGGGATTATCCTCTCTCCGAGCTTCGGGCCTAGGTGATAAACATCATCTGATAAAGGTGTTAGCCTGTCAGATCACCAAGTGACTCCTCTCCAGAGGAGAGATTCAAACCCCCGACACCGTGGTTCGTAGCCATGTGCTCTAATCCTCTAAGCTATGGGCCCCACCCCATCTCCACTGGATCTGTTCCCAGGAGCACCCTCACCTCACAAAAAAAAAAAAAAGGAAACATTTCTCTCCCCAGCCATTTCAAGTTAAGAAGATGTGAAAACACAATTATCTCTATTATATAAAAACGGTGCATTTCAAGGTGTGAAGTGGGCGAAAAGGGATGTCATGATTGGTGTTTTGAATAAAATGACCTTTTCATTTTTCATTTTTTCTCTTTTTTCATTGAAAAAGTAATAAGAACGAGGGGTGTCAACCAAGATTCATACCAACATAGTAAGGCACATAACCTAGAAGTTCACAATCACTTAGCCAGCTAGGAGTGGCTTGAGTAGATCCTTACAGTCCTTTCATTCCATTGATAAGTACAACTGCTCCCCAGCAAGTATTGCTGCCCAGAAATTATTTTTCACGTCTTAATGTGCCCATGAATGGCCACACTACCTCAAACCAACAGGGTCATCAATTTGAGTAACCCCAAAAACCACTCATTATTCCGCCAAACCTCCATGAACAAAATCAATCAAGAGTTAAGTGGTTCACATGGCTAGGAGTTGAATTCATTACTTAAGATGAATCCAGAGACTTCTGTTAGCAGGTGCAACCAATAAAGAGCCATTAACTTCTTTTTAAATGATAATCTAGAAACCAAATTGTTAACTTCATAAAAGCATTGCAAAAATAATTTAATCCATTTGCTATAATAGTTTTATTAACATTGTATAGAGATAGAAAAAGAAATTTTATTCAATGAAATTTATGAGTTAAAACTTAAATGAACGAGTAAATCCTAGAAAGAACATAGAAAAAATAACAGTTTTCACAAGTTGGTATCCATATATAGAGGTTTTTCTTTGGCTAGTTAAGAAAAACTGTGTGTTATTAGCTTCATATGGAATACCTTATAGAAACTTTGTGAGGATAAAACTTTAAAAAATAGCAAATGATCTATACACATATCCCCAAAAACCCTATAAAAAAAACATTTATACAAATGAAATCCAATTTTATGCATGTCTTACAATTTTTGTTCAAAGAATGGAGTTAGCAAATTTTAGTTGAGAGCATATAAAGTAACTATCTTTCTCATAACTCGATGGGGGCAATACACATTTTTGTAACTCACTCAAGGCAATGCATTTTTTAATTTATATTTTTCCTTCAGCATATTATTACTATGCGGGGGGTGAGCACATGGTTAATATTATAGATCTGCCGTTCCAGTACACAGGGGCACCACTCAATCATAGCTCAACTATTATGAGAGAAAACATGGCAGTCTAGAGGTGAAAATATTAAACAGAACACGACATGATAATAACAGCCAGTAGGGTTTGGGTTTGACAAATCATATTCTTGTCATGATTGTATTGACATGTCTAACATACAAACATTTTATATCAAAAATGAAGTAGTTTCCAAAGAGAAGAGAGGACAAAGGGTGACATTTGGCACTCTTGGGATTAACATGTGTGCTTATTTACTTGCTTCATGTTAGAACCTTACTAATGTGCAAAAAGTGCAATGCTAATCTCAATTTCTTAGTCATTATCACAGACTTGTACAATGAAGTATATGACATAATTCAGTTCTTCTTCCAACTGAGAGGTGTTTACTGTCACTTACTTCCCAACCCAAAAGTATAACGTCTGAACTTCTATATTGGACTTTCCTTTCCCAAAGCCCAAGGAAGGTTAAATCAAGATTTCGCAGCTTTTAGGGCTTAAAGTCAAAAAAAAAACTACGAATCTATTTTTTTAACATTTTCAGCCATTTTTGACTTAAATCCAAGCACTTAATTCCAAACAAAGGGAAGCTTATCGCAAACAGAACATAAATTCTCCACAATTACCTTAGATTTTAACAGTTATTAAATAAAAACCTTTACTTGCCACAGTTCCTAAATTTATAATAACAGCAAAACTAGAAGTCTCAACCACATCTATTCCAAGTGATCTTCCTGTTGGGAATCAGATACTGATTTTCTCCAACCTATTTCAGATGCTGCTAGAACTGGTCTTCCATTTGAATACTTTAGTCGGATAGGATTTGCCATAGTTGTTAAAGACACAAGGCACAGTAGAAGCACCCTAACCTAAGTTAGGCAAGGTGACTTTTGTCATGGGCACAATTGGACAAGTAAGGCAGAAGGCTCAAGTGAGGCATGCCTTGACAGATCTCAGAATTTTTTGGGCCTTTTCAAGATAAAAATTGGGTCATGAAGGTATTATGGGGACAGGAAATGGGCCAAGAAGAGTCATGGAATGGAAAAAGAAAGCGTTTGAATTACCTTGAATGCTAAAAATTCAAACCCTAGAAGCACCAATCTACTTCTACAACGTGGTCTTCAACTTCAAGTGGAGCTTCTATTTTGAATTGAACTTTGATTTCCATATCCAACTTAATTTGAACATCAAATCAATATCAACTTCTGCTAGTAATTGTACTTCAACTTCCGCTTCTTGACTGTGATTCAACTTCGAATTTTGCTTCTTCTCCTGGGGCTTCAACTTCTGCTTCTTCTCCTTCAGCTTTAGCTTCTATTACTACTTCTTCCTGTGCTTTGATTCCACTTCAATTTTTGCTTCTTCTTCGATTTTGGCTTCAACTTCATCAATCCACTTCTAACTAGTATTTTCTCCCCCCTCCCCAAACTTCATTCTTTTAATAATACCCCCCCCCCCCTTTTTGAGAAAGCCCAAATATTTAATTTCGTTTCAGATATTTTTACTAACTTAATTTATTTCTCAATATTTTTCTTACTTTTAATGCTAATTATATATCTTTTAACTAAATAATCTTCCCATTATTTAATTGACATGCTTTAATCGTTATACAATGTAGTGTGAACTTTGAATGTATTTTGTTTGCTAATTATATGTTTGTCATGCATACTTTATATATTTGAAACTTTAGATACTTTATACAATCTCATGATATGTAGAATTACTGAAAATATTTCAGGAATTATCCAATGTCCACCTTACTTTTTGAAGGTTGCAACTTAACTTGCACCTAGGCTCTGAGGGACCTTTGCACCTTAAGTCCTTAACAAATATGGGATGTGCTATCCTACCAATCCCTTTAGTTAATGGAACCCAAGATTGGAGTTCCTAATCCCAAATCCATTTTCCCTACGGTAGGAGCCTAGAATTTTACAATCAATCCAGGATACCATTCTTTTGGTTTTAAAAAGAGACATGAGGATTTTGGGATGTACTGGGGATACATAGGGGAGCATGAATATTAGGCTCCTTAAAGTAGAAGGGGAATATGGGAATTGATTCTCCTACCATTGGATTTAAAAAAATAAAAAATAAAAATAATAATAATTATCTTACCATCTATGCTGTCTTGCATTATTCAATCTCCTTAGCCATAATCCCATATTATCCTATATCATGAGATGAGACACATGTTCATTCCACTTTTGACCACACCTTATCCCTCATCTCCCTCAAGGCACCAATCGTATCTCTTTTGTCAAACAGGACCTAGAGTGTGCCATAAAATTAATGATCTGATATGATGGCATCCATATCCATAACCAATGTTAAATAGAATCACCACTCCTGCACTATCAATCATCACTACTGAAAATGTAAAACAAATAAGACAAAATGCTAGATGTGCAAGAAGAATGGGGATAAGCTTGAATGACAAAAACTTGAGGCAATTTAAATCTGGTAACTGCCCCTGGATCTCATTTGTATCATGCATGGCAAATCATCATATAGTGGAAAGTTGGCAACAAATGCCAAAAAGTTCTTCTATTATAAAAGCGTATTTTGAAAAATCATTGCATGCAGAAAATATATCTCACTTCTACCTAGCTTCCGTGTCTAAAGTGGCAAAATTATTAGATAAGCTTCCTGTAAAAGTCTATTTTGAGAAAAAGTGAGCGTACTAAAGGCATGCCTAATTTTTGCCTCTAAATGCAGCCTACGAAACAATCAATGTGAAGTCCTCAGGTTCCCAATAAAGCAACATTGTGGCATGTAAATTATAAAACTCTCTCTGCTCTTCAGAATCGCAAGTTAAAAGTGAAATATGATAGATGAAAAGTGATCCAGTCTCAGAATACTATAACTTGATCATTTGAGCCTTAACAGCTATCAAATTTCTTTATGATGGATTCCCAAATCCCCAAGATAAAGACGGTGCTACCAACAACTTTGAGAAAATTATTCAAAAGCTGGAGGCCGATAACTCGGCTAGAAACAATTCACAAGTTGCTGAGACTGGAAACAGTTCCTTGAACTGAGTTTATTAATCATTCATTTTGCTCGCAACGAGATATCTAAAACGACTAAAATTCAACTCAAACAAGACAAATATTAGATTTTGCTGTAGAATGCCGTAGATATGCATATTAACGCTGATCCTCCTCCCTACATTCTGCTGCTGATCAAATAGAAACTGAAGGAAAATCACAGAAATGCAGGAATATAACTACACAAACAGTAAGATCATTTGAAATTGAACTCAACTATGTAGGACTTCCAAACCTATCGAGCACAAACTACGGCAAGATCAAAGCCCTAATGCTTCCCTATTCCCCACATTTTCTCAGCAATCAAACAAATGCCCCGAAAATAACGTCAAAATATTTACATCAATCGACGATCGAACAAAAAGCGAATTCCAAGATTTTATAGTAACTTTACCCTCTTCTCAACGGCGGTGGCGGCCTGCGCAGCATCTGAGAGCTGCTGGGACTGAAGAAGAATACCTTCCCTGCGCTTTTTGAGGAGATTGTCCTCGCGCTTGTTCTTCCTGATCTCCACGAGATTGTCCTCTCTCCGCCGGCGAGCTTCATCGGCATCGACGCCGGTTTTGTAGGATTTCTTTCGGACCTCCGTCCGAGAACCTGGTCGCAGAGACATTGCTGTTTGTTTGCGTCTCTCTCTTTCTAGGCGTTGGGAGAAAGCGAGAAACCTCTGCAACCAAGCAAAGCAAAGCAAAGACTGAGTATTACGAATTCGAGTCTAACCTGGAGAGAGACGGCGAGAAAGGAGAGTAGAAAAGGACGGGTGGGCCCTCTGCGGTGACGAATGCATTATTTATGATGCTTCGATTTATTTAATTGAATTGAATGAGAGTACAAATGTAAACTCCTGAACACTTGATGGTTTTTTTTTTTTTTTAACGTGGTTCAAAAATTAAATAAAATATTATTGAACTATTTTTCTTCTATTTATCCGAACATGAAAAAGGATAATTAAAATATTTTTTTTCTGTACTTTTCAAATAATATACCATTTGAATTATGAATTTTACATGCAATTCAAAATTAATTTTTTTAAAAAAAAAAAATTAACTGACACTAAGTATAAGTGTAAAAAACTTATACCATATCTTACACTGTTAATTTGATCAAAATCAACGATATAAATTAATTAAAGTTGTCTTCCACTGACTTCTAGCAATTAATTTACATTTAAATTAATTGCAATTAATCTATAATGTTAATTTTGACCAAATCAACTGTATAAGATATAGCGTAATAAATCTTTACACTTACACTTGGTATCAATTAATCCATTCTCTTTTAAAAATTTGCTTCAATTTTCAAACAAAATTGGAAATTATGTTATGTTTGTGAAATGAATTTATAGTTGAATGTATGTATTTATTATTATTTTGATGGATGGTTGTAGATTCTTTATAAAAAAATAATAAGTATTTACAAGATTTTATTTATTATGAATATTTTTATGAATTTTAGAAGTTTGATTGCAAATGAAAATAGTTTTTATTTGAATGGTTGCATTAAAATTGTTCTTTTGATTATTAATTTTTTATTTTGTACTTCTTGTTTCAAATTTGTTAATAGTATCCACCTAATAAATTAATTAAACAAAAAGAAATCGATATTAGAAACTCAACACTGCCCAAAGAACAAACTTTGAAAAACTAAGGAGTCGATAATAATCATTTCTTTCATACCATCCTTAATTTGTAGATCCTAATAAGATAAATTCATACAAACATGAAGATAAAATGGAACTCTAAACTTATACCCAACCCTTCAAAAACAATCCCTAGCAAATAGTTTTCTCTAATTAATAATTATCTCTAACATATGATGGCAGGTTATATAATTGTCTTGTCCTCAAAATGAAACCTTAGTATTAAGTCTGGCATCCGACAATCAGCTTGCCCTCAAACTCCAATTCATCAAAATCTATCATCGTGTTTACTGCAACGTCAACCTCAATGCTGTGCAATTCACAGTTGGTACAATGATGCAGAGAAGTGTATGGTTATTTGGAGGAGGGAAAAAAAACAAAGGTCTTTGTTGCCAAGGTCTTGCAATTCATTAGACAGTAGGCGGTGAAAATTGGACGGTTGTTGCAGTGGTCGAGGCAATGGTATGGCCAATAAAACGGCAACACTTTGGTGACAATGGTGGACCAATGGATCATGATTGAAGCTCTGGTGCTTGGCATGGTGTGTGACCCTATTGTTATGAAAGACATTAAAAAAATAAGGGGCGGCCTCTATAAGTGGCTTGGATAACTCATGGAATTAGTAGAAATTGGGTTACAAGTTGCATTATCATTGATCCACAAATCCGCCTCAATGCACTAGACTAAGTCCATGGCCTTACGTAGAGTGATAGGAAAGTGAGTGGGTAGGTAAGGTCGGATTACTTCTTGTAAAACATTCATAATATATCCCAAATAATATTGCCCGGATAACCTCAAAACTTGGGTGATTATAGAGTGCTCCTCTACCGCTACATGTAGGCAAAAGGTGGCTAAACATTCAAACAGATTACTAGATTGGCAATTGTCATAGTATTGAATTAACTCCACCATATGCATGTGTCAAATCATATTTAGGTGACTTTGATGTGCCCAATAGAACCAGTGAAAGGCATGTCCTTGCATACTAATCAAAGCAAGAGTCACCTTATCTTCCTTGCAAATGCCATTCATTTTGAAAGATTTTAAGCAAAGTGTATATTTTATTAATCTTTCAAAGTTATATACTTTAGTTGATGTTAATTTCAGAGAAATAATTTAAATGAACTAATTATAAGAAAATAATTTAAAATAATTTCTTAACAATAAAAGTATTGGTTCGATTTCTGTTAAAACTAGCGAAATTAAAAAACTCATCTATTTTCTAAAAATTGTTCAAACCGACAATTTGACCATTTAGATCGATGAACACGGTTCATTGCAAATGAGATAGTCTAAAAATAGTACATATGCAAGGAGTTGAACTAGTGTCCATAGTAAAAAATAGTTGTTACCCTACCTCTAAACCATTACCCATTGGTGTAATGGTATTGTTTGTTAAAATATATAAATTTTTTTAAATAAACTTATTCCAATTTCTTCACACGATAGATAATTCACATATTTTTATAAAATTTTAAATTTGAAAGTGTAATATGAAATATAAAAATTAAAATCATTTATAGTAAATTTGATTTTTATAATTAACATTTGATTAAAAAATTTAAAAAAAATATAGTTTGAGTCCCTACAATACATTTCAAAGAAAATATAACTAATTTAATTATTTTTTATTTTATTTTATTTTTATTTTTATGATTTTTTGATATTATTCTTTTTTTGTCAATTTGTAACCATGTAAAAGAAGTCATGACTTATAAACTTTTTTTTTAGAATAGTTGTGAATTTAAACACTTATTAAATTATTTATATTTATTTTGAATTATATCCTGATGATTTGTTATTTTTATTTTGCATGAACTATAATAATTGAATTATGAATATTATTGGATATTACTTTAGGTAATTAATAATGTTGACTCTTTAAAATTTTTTGGCATGTATATAAATATATATATATATATATATATCACATAATATGACATCACGATTTAGTAACAATTCAATTGTGATTCAATTAAGGTTGAACTAATAAATTGTAAACCAATAACTTTTCTGATTTAATAAATGGTCTAGTTTTTTTAAAACCTTGTTCTTGAAGAAGTTTGCCACAATTTGCAAAAATTGTTTCCTTATTTGTAAAAATCTTTCTTTTTATATCAATCTCATAATATGCAATCTTATTTTTATACCAGTTTCACAGTTAGCATTATTACAAGAATTGAGATTTTGATTTGCAATATATCCCTTATTAGTTATTATCTTGTTTTCGTGTAGTTACAATCATATTTCTACGTAATTATAGTCATATTTTCGTGTAATTACAACATTTGTTCATATAGTTACACCCACATTTCCATGTAGTCACAAACTTATTTTCATGTATTTAAACATTGTGTTTGTATAATTATATCTATATTTTCATGTACTTGCAACCTTATTTCCCTGTAATGACAACTTTGTTTTTACATAGTTATAACTATGTTTTTGTGTAGTTACAACTTTATTTTTGTATAATTGCTACGGAAACATGCTGTCATTGACTAAAAACTTCTTTCTAGCTAAGCAACTATAAGTTTGTAAATATGTATAAGAGAAAAGAATTTTCAACAATAAGTGAATTGAGTTGGGAGAAAAAACTTGTAAAAAATAAGTTTCTATGAGTGAATGGATTCAGGAGAGATAGTTTCAATAAGGCTTGTAAAGGGAGGCTACAATGCTTATGCAATGCTATAGGTGACAATGCTTTAATAAAATGTTGATAGAGAATCGATCATGTAAAGAATGATAATGCTTAACAATGCTTTTGACAAGTCAGGCGATTTGCTTGGCAAGAGAATGATAATGCTTAGAAAAGTAGAGCGGTGCCTAAGCCAAGCTTTTGTAAGGAACAAAGAAACTCAATAATCAAATTTAAAACTCACGAAAACTGACACAAATAGCCAAATGGGAGGAAGAAGTTCAAAAGCCAACTGAATAGTATGAAGAGTACCTTAGAAATACAAATATACTTCACTGAACAACTTTTTTATAAAAAAATAAAATTGACTTGATAAAAAGTTTTACATTTTAACCCCAAATCATTTAAATTACCAAGCTGTCTGGCTTGTTAATTTTTTTCATAATATATTTTCTTTTTGGAATTGCAAATCTTTACAAGGATCAAAGTCTTGGTAGGAATGATGGGATGGACAAGATTATGGACACGTTAGAATGAAAACAATGAAAGTTTATAAAGTCTACATTCAGGACAGAACTAGAAACTACAAGTACATGGATTGGGGTAGGTGGATATAAAGGGACCATCCTAGGTACATACATTATGTATGTAACACAATATATATTTTTCCGTCAATAATAATTATGTATAATTTTTTATACATCAGAGATTTAAGCCTAAGTTAGGAAAGGAATGGTTAGAAGTCAAATTCATAATTTTATATAAAATCTTAGAAGTGTTACATTATTTTAGCTAAATCTTAAATTTTAATTAATCTAGTTATTATATATATATTTATATATATAAGGATCAATTGACACTAAGTGTAAGTGTAAAGACTTACACCACATTTTTACATCATAAATTGGTCAAAATTAACGGTGTAAATTAATTATAACTGATTTAAATGTAAATTAATTATTGAAAGTTAGTGGAAGACAACTGTAATAATTTACACAATTGATTTTGATCAAATCAACGGTGTAAGATGTGGTGTAAATTTTTTACACTTACACTTTATGTCTTATCACATATATATATATATATATATATTTGGTGTTTACATGAGTGGGCTAAGCCCAAAAGACACCAACAAAGACACGAGGCATCTCGCAACTAAGAACGGCCTTTAAATCCGTCAACGGCAATACCCACTCCAAGAACCCGGGAAAGAGGGGCTGAATTTAAACAATATCTAAACCCTAACAAATGATGGGCCAGAACACAGTAAATCAATGACATCTGGACCGGGTTCCTCCTTGCTGGAAGGCCCAGAACTGACACCCTAGCCCACCAA